TGGGTGGAAATATAATTTTCATTCAATAAACCATGAGTTAACAAGAAGGAAAAGCACAAAAGTCTGATATGGGTCTGGTGCTATTAGGGAAGGAGGTGCCCACATGACAAATGTAGCTTACTCCTTGAAGAAACAGACTTTTTAAGTGTTTTAATACAAAAATATAAACCCAGGTAAAATGTTCTATATCCTAACACTTTGATTCTTTCTAAAAAAGCAGAGCACACAAGTGACTATTAGGATGACAAAGAACCAACATCAAGGAGCATCAGACACCACAGTTGCCATTCTCTTCATTGACACACAAACACCTTTGTGCAGGATGCCTTTTGAAATTTTGAGACCAACTAATTCTATCACCTTGCTAAAGCTTTTGTGATCTTGGGTAAATTCCTTAATTCCCTTACCCTCAGTTTTTCTATTCACACAGTGACATGAAAATAGTAACTACTTTGGGTTTAAGTGAGATGATAACTTAGCAATCTTAGCAAGTGATATTAGCACTTAATGCCTAATCATCTCAATATTATAAATGACATGGTTACCACCCAAATCCAAACCCTTGCATTCATCTGTCCTTTTTCTTACTTCCTATGTTGCCATCCCGATACTGTTGTGTGCCTCCCATCCATCTCCATGATGTCTTGCTCTGGCAACTTTTCCCTGTCCTTCCATCTTCCACTCCCCTTTCTCCTTGCCTCAGTTGAAACCTGAATCTATGAAAAGAACATGACCTTCTCTATGGTCTTCTCAAGACAACCACAGGACCAGGAACAAATGGAGACCAGCAATCTTGTTCTTCTTTGAGGGACTTTTCCATCCCTACACACCTTCCCCATCACCTCCTTTGAAGTACATATCTCCACTTTCCTTCCCTCTGGCTATGAATGGAAGAGCTTTATCAGTTCTTCACATTCCTTGAAGACTTTAGCATAGGTTCACAGCCTCCCCTTTCATTCCTGTTGCTGGCATTACTTTAGACAACTTCACACTATCATGCCACTTGGAAAATGGTCTTGTCACCCTCTTCCGGTCAAGCTATAACCCAGCCTCTATTTCTAACTAAGAGTCAGGGGCATGTTAAATGACACCATAGAAATGCAGTAGACAAAACTCAGAAGGCAAGAAACTTAAAAATAATGCCCTGGCTTCTCCAAAACAAATTGCAAAAGAAAAAGAGAAGTGGTGAGATCAATGAAAACAAACACAGATTAAAAGTAAAAACAAAAACAAAAACAAATACAGTGTAGGGACTTTACTGGAACTTCATTGAAACAAATAAACTACCAAAAAATTTTAAAAACAATCTTTTTTTAAGCAAACAGAGAAATCTGAAGGTTAAAGGGATATTTGGTGATATTAGGAATTTAGTGTTCATCTTTTAATCTGTGATAAACTGTTCTTGTGTTTTAAAAAAATCCCTGGAATAATAAAAAAAAAGTAACTAAAAATGAAGAAGTTCCATAATGATAAAAGATCAATCCATCTGGAAGATATACATGAAGCAAAACCTGACAAAATTAAAGGGAGGACTACACAATTCAACAATAAAACTTGTATATGTCAATACCATATTTTCAATAATAAGTAGAAAAACTAGACAGAAGATCTACAAGAAAATAGAATACTTGAACAGCATTTTAAACTAAGTAGATCTTATACCCATGCACTTAATACTGGAATGTTTGCATTACGATTAATAAATTGGCATTCTGACCTAGAAATTTCAGCCTCCAGAACTTCAGCTAATAGTTATTAGTATTCCTGGCCCCAAAAGAGTCAGATACCTTCAGAGCAATAATAAAACCTGCTCCTCTCCCAGCTCTGCTGGGCTCACCTGGCGAGGCCTCCCAGCAATCAACCAATGGCTCTCTCTGGAGAAGCAGTTCCAGGAGAAGGTAGCTGGAGGGGGTGTGAGGAAGGGTCGTCTAAGATGATTCTCAAGAATCACAAACTTTCTCTTCTGTACCCTTCTTTTTGCATGGCTTTTCTGAAGTGTCACTCTTTCTCACCTTGCTCACTGAAGCTCTCTCTGGTAACTTTGCTCCCATGTTCTATCCGACCTGCCTTTTCTCTTGCTTTGACTTTTCCAAGGGTTCCCCAGTAACCTTAGTATTTCCATGTTCAAGTTCAAACCACTACGTTTAGCTGAGGTAACAGTTTCATTTAATCTTCAACTACTCCACCCTTACCTCCGCTCTATCCAGTATTGCTCAGTTGGTGGCATGATTGACATATTGGGTAGGACACTTCCTTGTGCAAGACTGCCCTGTGCATTTTAATAGGTGTAGCATTCCTGTCTCCTGCCTACTAAACACCTATAGTACCTCGCCTTCAGAATTTGTGGCAAGTAAAATGCGTCTCCAGATACTTCCCAACAACCCTTGCTGTTCCTTTTTAACAGGGACTTTTAAGTAGGGTGGCTCCTACTGGCCCCTCATACCTCAGCTCAAGTATTGGGCTGAGCCATATGCAAATACCATCTTCATAGTTCAAGAACATCGAACATTGGCTATTAATTTCCTTCCTTCTTTCCTTCTGATTTCCTTCTTTCCTTCTCATTGCCGGTGCCCTACAGCACCCTATGACTTTCATTATTCAAGAGCTAATCACTCTATGTCATAATAGCTGGCTCATTTTCACCCCCTCCTTCTAACTACACTCAACCCTGATTACCTGGGAGCAAAGACCAAGTTCTCACTGGGTATCTCAAGTTTCTTTTGGCTCAGTGCCTGGCATTATAATAGGTACTAAACCCATGTTTGATAAATAAATAAACAGGATATTGAGCATACTTTCCCTGATGATTCAATGTTATTAGTCCTGAGCTTGGAGATGTCTTCGGGGCCTATTGAGCCATTTGCAGCTTTTGACTTTGTTTTCACTGAATGACCCACCGCTGCCCAGCTTTATGATTTGCGTGTCTAGGTTCTGCACAGTATCATCAGCATTTCTGCCTCCAGGGACTTTTCCAGTGGCCTTTGGAATCTGAGGCAGACTGTCCTGAGCGTAGGGTTGAAGCGCATCATGAACTTCGGTGAGCACACTGTTTCAGCATCATCCTTTTGTCTTATTTCTGAATTCTTGCTTGGTTTCACACATTTAAAGTCCCTCTTTTGGTTGGTGAGACTCTATCACCACCATAACCTTTCACATGATCACATTCTTTTTTAGAAACAGCTGAAAGATGAGTCAGCAGAACTTGTGAAGGAGAGAAATATTCTGTGCTGAGATGCCCATTTCTAGGTCCCTGACTGGTGACAAAATGATGGGCTAAGTGATCTTTCAAGGTATTTTTGAAATGTGTGTTCTGTCCCTGTAGTCGCAAAGTATATGGGTGTATTTTTAAATTAATTAATTTTTTTTTCAGAATTTTGTCCTTTTTAATCATCTAAACACAGGAAGGATCAAACATCTAAGAATGATATAACACTCTTAAAATCTTCTAAAATATCCACATATTCCAAGACTTTTAAATCAATGGACTTTGACCCTGCAAGTGTATGGGTGCAATTTGTTATTTTTAAAAAGTTTGTAACAACTTAAACAATAATAAAAATTTTTTAATAAGAAAATAAAATGTAAGGATAAAAATAAATAACTAAAAATTTAAAAGTTTTGAATCACTAAACGCTGAGATATAACTCTCAGCTATGGGATCTTTCTAATTTCATATTTGGATGACTTTGAATCCCAAAAACAATACCTTTTGATTATAATTCATATAGATGAAGTCCTGGACCATAAAGGATAGAGGTAAAGGGAATAGCCAGGCAAAAGCAAATGAGGAACACAATTTTTCCTGGAAATGTTTGTATTTCCTACTATACCTTAAATACTTTTAATATATCTTAAATGCTATGTAACTCAATCAACAAACAACTTTGGTTTTTTTATTTTTAACATTTATTCTCATAATTTTTATCTTTTACAGGTCATTACAACAACTTAGAGTACAAAATGATCTAAACAGAAGAATGTTAAATAGTTTTTTTAAAAGAGCTATTGCTTGCAAAAAAAAGTTCATTAAATCTTTTTTCTTCAATGCATAATTTTATACATCATACTAAATAGCTTATGGGAAATTATTATTAAATAACAAGACATACACATGAAGCCCACATATATAAATAACTTAACATAAAATAGCTTGACTCTTATGCAATGCTTAACAAAGCAAAGTATGATGTGATGTGTCAACCTCATTAACTGGACAAGTCCAATGACACAAATCAGATAAGTGATAAACCCACAACGATGAGCAAGTGAAACCACCAACTCCAGTGGGGTTCTTTTTATTCTTGAGCCGTATCCAATTTCATTCCAGAGAGCATCAGGTTTTCACAGTTTTGGCTCTGTGTCTGTAAAGAGAAAGACAGGAAACAAATAAGCAATGACAGAGTGACTGGATGGCAGGAAATACTTTGGTACCTAGTGATTGCCTGTCTTTCCCTAATCACATCTCAAGAGGCTAAGCAGCCCTGAATGCAGATGAGGAAATAGAGGTTCAGAGAAGAAGAGCCCTGTCCATCAAAACTCAGTGAGCTAATGACAGAAACAGGATGTGAACACTTATGTTGTGTCTTCAAATTCTGTGTTTATAGCACCCTGGTGTTAGGTGACTTCTATCTGTTGAGAAAATGTGACTCTTTATTATCATCAGTGTAAATCAGAGCGAGTGTTCTCATTTCACTCTTTCTGCTTCAGTTTTTAACAAACAAATGTCATGAAGTCTGCAATTATATAAACAGGAGACATTTCTACCACAAGAATCCAACAGCTCATGACTATCAGCTGCATAGAGGAATCCAATACATCATGTGAGAAATTGAATTTTAAAAAATAAAAATGTTGTATAAGTAGAAAAAAAATGAATTTTTGTTTTGATGGTCCAACTCTAACTTCCCTTTTCAAAATTCCACAGTGCTTAAGCTAAAACATTCCAAGCCTAGGATCCACCACTCTGCACATTGTTCTTGACCCACATATTTGCAAAGAGGCTAATAGATAGTGACTGTTTCATACCTGAGGACATGGATGGCATGTTTCACCCATGGCTCCGTTGGATTTGCACACACAGCGAATCCTCTTCTTGTGTGAAAGCTGAAAAATCAGAAAAATTGGTTTGTGTTTAAAGAGCTTTTAAATGGCTTTATCACAGAACATGCAATGGAAATTTCATATTTCAGTTGATTGCTTTACACACTAATCATTTCATTTATTTCAGAGGTGAAACAAAATTTTAAAAAAAAATTCTCCCAATAAAGCTTGATGCAAGAAATGAAAGGGATGCTCCCCGACTTTCTCTACAGTTTAACAAATGACTGTGCAAGGGCTGAAAAATAAAGTTCAAGACTCTATATATATAATTTTTATTATTCCAAAGTATAATATCCTGTATAAACCAAGAATACCATATATAACAGTATAATTACTCTGAATTTTTACTTACAGCTTCTATCATTTTCTGGTGCAATATGCTCATTTTAAAGTCTATGTTTTCCATATTTTCCTGAAGTAGCACTTTAGTAGCCTCTAAGTTTATCTTAGAAAGTGATTTTGCCCCTACTATGTTTCTTTTTTAAAACAAAACTTGTGCCTTTTCTTACTCTTACTTAAAGTGAGCTTTGAATCAAGTCTCCTCCTGTCATTCACAGAAGGACACTTAGCTTTGGGTGGGAACACCCAACGCAATATACAGATGGTGTATTATAGAATTGTACACTTGAATCCTATATAATTTTATTAACCAATGATACCCCAATAACTGAACAGTTATATATATATATATACACAAGTGAACTTTGAAATAGACATGCACTACTAAAACAAAGCTATCTTTTCCACATTCATTATTTCTGAATGAAACGCCAAAAAGGGCAAAAACTTTTTATTTCTGAAATTCCCATGTACTCCTTGTACAACTGAGCTAAAATCAATTAATAACTTACATGATTGCATCAATGTCACAAGCTTCATTGGCAAACTGCTTTGTGAAGTTCTTGATACTTCTGAAAGGCAGGTGGTTTTTTGTATAGCCAAGGCAGCAGTCAAAGGTGCTTGCTGCTAAAAGGAAATGAAAGGTATTGAGTCCACATGAAGAGACTCTTCTTGTGATAGGTATTATGAAACTATTTGTAGTTGTAGAAAACCTGAAATCTGATTTATGGGGTAGATAAACTGTTTAGAAGGACAGTTCCAGTGTTTTTGAGACCCAATTTAACACAGTTTCCAGTTCCTTTTTAAAAAACTGTCTGAGTGCTGGGAAATTTTGGTTCAATAATATAGTTTAGAAGCACATGACTTTTCATAAAAAGAATATCTCTATTAAAAACACAAACTGTCTTAGTTCAATCCATTATAATTATTCGAGAATATGAGTAACTCCCACTTGAATAAACTCTTATAGATTAACTTTCAAATTCAGAAAATGAATAAATTGGCAGATTTTCATCTATTATCTGGCTACTGAGTATTGAGAGGAGAAGAAGGACAAGACTTTACAAAGGAAAATGTGATTTATCAAAGCTGATTTTATAGCAGCTATAACAAGACCACTTTGAAATGATAACAACAAATGGAAATTTCTCATTTTGTTGATAAAAGTCCAACACATGCATTTTTAGGAATGCATCTGTTACTAAAATTGGTGCTCTCTTACAGCAATAGAGCAATACTTGGACACTCATCTAAGTCACATTATAATCTGATGTCAGATAAGGATAAATGTTACAACAAAGTTGACAAGTGATGTCCCAGAGGCCTTGCAAAAATGAAGAAGTCAGGTGCCATAGTGCACCCCAAAGAATGAGTTTTAAACTTCACTGAAACTACTCAGTAGGGAGACGAGAAAGTTGGGGAAGGGAGAGCATTCCTTACATCTGAGAGTGACCCCGTTCACTGGTCATGTTACCCAATGAATACCATTCTCAGAAATAAGACTTTGGCAGCATGCTGGAGCTCAGGGGTCTCTCTGGCCTACCCCCTGACGTCTGCTGGGATTGGCAGTGCAGAGGAAAGCCTGGTCAGCAGCAGGAACCCTTCCCTCCTTCATTCACCAATGAGCTGACAGCTCCCATCATTCTCTTTTGGAGACTTTCTGACAGGCTGCTATCCTTTAGGGACCCCCAGATGAGCTCAAAGCTTAGAGGAAAATGAAAATAGCCCTTCCTCCCATGCAAGCAGAAAGAGTGACGCTTACCTTCTGACTGGCTGCAGAGGTGGAGTAGCAGCAGTGACATCAAAGCGGCCAGGAGCAAACTCTTGCTACTGCTCATCATTTTCAGCTTGAAGAATAGATGTGCACCGTGCTGAGTACCCAGCGCTCTGGGAGTGTTGCTATGCTCTGGTAGCCACCTGAGGCTTAGATGGCAGTATTTATAGCAAATATTGGGAATGTACACAAAAGGCGTGTTCTCCCATGGGGTTTTCCCCATTGATGGACCTGCCCCATCATGTCATCACGAAGAAAAAAAAAACCACAGGGAAATCTTCCTGCCTTTCTCTTGTTGGGAAAATGTGAAGGTCAGAGTGGGAAAGGGGAGAAAAAGGGGAAATCCTGTAGCATCCTTTAAAGATTCCCATCTAGTTTTAACTTAGTCTCTTGTCTCTGAAAAGAGGACAAGGGTTGACAGTAATACAAAGGTCAGCCCCACACAGGAGCATTCCAGAACTCCTATTGTTATACTGTATTTGCTTTCCAAAGCCAATCAGAGGGAGGATTCCAGACATACTCGGGAATCATTTACAATTGCTAGTTTGTGCTCAGCTGTCACCAGAGACCTTGAATTTCTAGGCTGCCTTTCAGATCAGGTAATATATCAATGCTGCAGAAGTGTCCCTGACTTTTGTGGAAAACGGCAACCCTTAAGTAACACTCAAGCCTCACCTTGATCAGGTGGCTAAGTTGGTTGGAGCACTGTCCTGTACACCAAAATGTTGCAGGTTCAATTCCCAATCAGGGCACACACCTAGGTTGTGGGTTCTGTCCCATGTAGTATACAGGATTGATATTTCTCACCCTCACTCCTTTCTCCTTTCTCTAAAATCAATAAACATATCCTAGAGTGAAGATTTAAAAAACGAAGACTCAGGTTTCAGCTTTGTCTTGATTTTATATCAACTCTTCTAAGAATCTGCTCCATTTACAAGACTCTAATCAATATTGCAGTCCAGCAAGTAATCTCACTTGCCCTAAACTCTTCATGCTCATGTAATTATGTAACTCAACCCAGTCTTCAGAAGGGTTGAGAATGAAGGAGCCTATGAGCAGAGGTTAATCAATGAAACAAATGTCAAATAATAGTGATAGAAGAAGAAGAAGAAGAAGAAGAAGAACAAGAACAAGAACAAGGAGAAGAAGAAGAAGGAGGAGGAGAAGAAGAAGAAGAAGAAGAAGGAGAAGGAGAAAGAGAAGGAGAAGGAGGAGAAGGAGAAGGAGAAGGAGAAGAAGGAGGAGGAGAAGGAGGAGGAGAAGGAGAAAGAGAAGGAGAAGGAGAAGAATGTAATAAGAATGCTCCACTAGGGAGAATATCATTGTATGCTAAGGATTGGGTTTGTAGGACAGGTAAACTGTAAAGAAATAATGCAAGTGTGTCTGGGGGGTGATAGAATTATTTTTATGCCATTATGGGCATGGTTACACATATCTACCTGTGTGTTTAAAATCATAAAGCTGTACAGCAAAAGAAAAAAGTGAATTGTATTATATGATAATTTAAAAATAAAAAACATTGAAATCATTTTTTAAAACTGTCCACTGAACACAAATGAATTGAAAAAGATAAACCACCAATCAATAAACAAGAGAGAACTGGAGTTGCTATACCAAATCTTTAAAAAACAAAAACAGGTTTTAAAACAAAAACTAGAAATGAAGAGGAAATTCCACAATAATGAAGGATCAATCCATCCAGAAGATATAAAAATTATGACCAAATATACATCAACAGCACCTCAAAATACATAAAACAAAACTGATAAAATTAAAGAGAAAAATAAGCAATTCAACAATAAAATTTTAATATCTCAATATTATATTTTTAATAATAAGTAGAAAAACTAGACAAAAGAGCCACAAGAAAATAAATACTTGAACAATATACCAAGTAGGCCTAACAGACATCTATAAAACACTTAATGCAACATCAATAGAATAAGCATTCTTCTCATGTGCATATGGAACGTCCTCCAATATAAATAATATGCTGGGACATAGAACAAGTCTTAGTAATTTAAAAGGATTGAGATCATACTAAGTATGTTTTCAAACCGCAACAGAATTGAACTAGAATTCAGTAACAGAAGGAAACTTGGTAATTTCATAAACACATGGATATTAAACAATACATTTCTAAGCAACCAATGTGTCAAAGAAGAAATCAAAAAGGAGAAAATACATTGAGATGAATGAAAATGAAAGTACAACATATTAAAACTTATGAGATCCCGCAAAAACACTGCTCAGAGGGAAACATAGCAGGGATAATGGAAATAAGGAATAGTAAAACAACAGAGGAAATCAGTGTAACCAAAAATTGGTTCTTCAGAAAGGTCAACAAAATTAACAAGCTTTAATTGAACTAATCAATAAATACATGGGGGGAAGCGCTAAAGAATGAAGAGAAGGCAAATTGCTAAACTCAGGAATTGAAAAGGGGATATCTGACACACGAAGTTGGCTCAGCGGGTGGTGAGATCAAGTACTGGGAAGATGGCTTTGTCTTCCAACCTAGCACCTTCTGGAAAGGCACTGACAGACCCTAAGGATTTGGGAAAGATGTCCTTTCTAGATATGTCTCTGGATGACATTATAATCCTTAGAAAGACAGAATATCCAAACTTTGAAGAAGATAAGAATGAGACACAGAATGAGGGAGAAAAGAACTCAGTTTCTATACAGCAATCAAATGCTGGTGAGCATCGCCGGAAGAGAGGATCCTCGATATCCGGGAACAACATTAAGGAAAGAAATGATAAAAAACCACACCAAGGACCTTCCGGATCCAAGTCTCAACAAAGTCCTTTAAACAGGAAGTCTTTAAATAAGAAGAAGTGCAGTGATCATTCTAAGGCCCAAGCAGAGAAGAAGCGAAGCCAATCAAGAGAGAACCAGCGTCAATCAAAAGGACCTCAAGGCCAACTGGAAGAAAATCGACACTATTCAGAGAGATCTAGAGGCGGTTCAGAGAAATCTCGCCATCAACGAAAGAAACCTCGAGGTCAATCAGAGGGATCTCGTAGCTCCCCAAAAAGATCTCATGGCCATCCAGAGAGATCCCATGGCCAATCTAAGAGATCTTGTGGCAGCTCAGAGAGATCTCGTGGCCAATCAGGGAGATCTCATGACCAACCAAGGAGATCTGAGCAGTCAGGGAGATCTCCTGACCAATCAGGGAGATACCGAAGATACTTACCAGTAGGAAAATTTAAAACTTCACCCAAAATTAAGTATGAATTTGACAGGTCTTTTATAATGAAAAACAGAAATGGCTATGTCCACAAACAGCCGCAGCAAAGAAATGACCTAATGAACGTGAGTCAACAGGTATCTCTGAAAAGATATCACTGGGTCTATGAAAATTATAAAGGAAGTGAGAGATACTTGCATACAGACACTGGTACAACTGAATTCCATTGTTATTAGTCGGTATAACAAATTTTATTGTTATTAGGGAGGAAATGAAACAAAAATGAATAAATGTAACTTCCAGCCTAGGGCCTCTAGAACCTGATTCTGAAAAATCCATAGCAATTTCTGTAAACAATCCTAACGTAGAAGTAGAAAATTCATAAATAAAACTGCCTGGCTTGCTGTTAAAAAAAAAAAAAGGAAAGAAAAAAAAGAAAAGGTGATATCTCTACCAACTTCAAGACATTAAAAAGGACTGAAAGAGAATACTATAAACAACTGAATGCCAATCAATTACGTAATGTAAATGAAGGGGACAAATTACTAAAACTGACTCAAGTAAATATAAAATGTTTGAATAACTTCATAATAAGTAAAGATATCAAATTGGTAACTAAAAATACTTCTACAAAGAAAAGTCCAGACCCAGAAGTTCACTGGTAAATTCTACCAAACATTCAAAAAAATTAAAATCAACTTTTCGCAAACTTTTCCAGAAAGTAGAAGAAGAAGAAAGAATTTTTAACTCATTCTTTGAGGATAGTCTTACACTGATATCAAAACAAGGAAAAAACTCACAAGAAAACTGCAGGCCAATATCTCTTATGAATATAGACACAAAAATCCTCAACAAAATGCTAGTAAACTGTATCCAGTAACATATATAAAGGATCATGCACCATAACCAAGTGGGATTTATCCTAAGATGTGTAGTACACAATTTAACAATAAAAAACAAAAACCATATGAAAAACATTTGACAAAATCCAACTAGGAATTAACTCATTAAATTAAAAATAGTAGAGAACTTCCTTAACTTGATAAAGATCATCTATGAAAATCCCACAACTAATACCATACTTAATACTGAAAGACTGAATGCTTTCTCTCTGAGATTAAAAACAAGACAGGGGTACCTGCTCTCACCAGTTCTAGTCAACATTGTGCTGGAGTTTCTAGCCAGCACAATGAGGCAAAAAAAAGGGGGAAAGGCACCCAGATTGGAAAGGAATTAGTAACTATCTTAATTTGCTGATGAAGTAATCTTGTATATAGAAAACCCTAAAGAATCCACTAAAAAAGTATTGGAACTAATAAGTTCAAAGAAGTTAAAAGATTCAAGACGAGCATATGGAAATCAATTGCGTTTCCATACACTGTCAGTGAATAATCTGAAAATAAAATTAAGAAATCAATGACTATTGTAATAACATCAAAAATATTAAAATACCTTGCTATAAATTTAACAAAATAAATTAAAATTATAACTGAAGACTACAAAACATTATTAAAGAAATTAAAGGAATGTCTAAATAAATAAAAAGACATATGTCATGGATCAGAAGATTTAATTAACATTTTTAAAATTGGCACGACTCCCCAAACTGATCTACAGATTTAACACAGTTCCTATCAAAATCCTGGCTAGCTTCTTTGCAGAAATCATAGAGCCAATACTCAAATTTGTATGGAATTGCAAGAGATCCCAAATAGCCAAAGCAATCTTGAAAAGGAAGAACAAAGTCAAAGGACTTACGCTCCCTGATTCTAAAGCTTACTGCAAAACTACACCAATCAAGACATGTGGTACTGGCCTAAGTGTAGACATACATATCTATGGAGCAAAATTGGGAGCCCAGATATAAATCT